TTTGAGACAGGCTCACACTATATAGTTGAGGCTGACCTGGAACTCACTATGTAGCCCAGGCTGGTCTCAAATTCACAGTGATCTTCCTGCCTCAGCTTCCCAAGTGCTGGGATTATAGGCGTGTGCCACCATGCCTGGCCTTTGTGGGATTTTTTTAAAGTATGCTTTAACACATAACTTTATTTCATTATTTAAAAATAGCTTATGGGACAGTGGACATAGCTCAGTGATAGGACCTGGAACTCACTATGTAGCCCAGGCTGGTCTCAAATTCACAGTGATCTTCCTGCCTCAGCTTCCCAAGTGCTGGGATTATAGGCGTGTGCCACCATGCCTGGCCTTTGTGGGATTTTTTTAAAGTATGCTTTAACACATAACTTTATTTCATTATTTAAAAATAGCTTATGGGACAGTGGACATAGCTCAGTGATAGAGAGCTTGCCTAGCATTTGAAAGTGTCTGATTTCAATTCCTAGTACTAGAAAAACCACACACGAAAACAAAAAAATTGTACTAAAACTATAAAAGTTGTAATTGATATTATCTTTCAGTTACTATAGATTCTTATCCTTAAAGTTTGAGAAAAGCGGGGCTAGGGATTTAGCTCAAGCACAAAGTCCTGAGTTCATTCCTTGGTGCAGAGTGGGGGTGTGTGTGTGAAAAGGATATTTTTGGATTCTGTCACAGGAAATTTATCCCAAATCACAGTTGCCTAGTTGTGGTGTTGTGGTGTTGTGTTGTGTTTTGATTTAGTTTGATTTGTTTTTTTTTCACTGAGGAGGAAACCCAACGGCATTCTAATGCTGAGCTACATCTTTTGTCTTTTTCTTTTGAGATGTCTCCCTAACTTGCCTGGCCTGGCCTGGCTTTGAACTTGAACTTGAGTCTTCTATATCACAACCTCCCAAGTAGCTGAGATTATAGGTGTGCACCACTGTGCCCAGCTGCCTGGTTGTTTTGTTTTCTATTTTATGAATATTTTGTTATTTGTACAATGTAAACTAGTGTATTACTTTGTAAAATTTTTTCTGAACACTTAACCTGTTAGGAAGCTATATCTATCGCTTCTCGGCCTTTTGGCTAAGATCAAGTGTAGGAAGCTATATCTACCCAGTAAGTATTATGTGGATTATTTTATTTGTTTGTTTTTTGTTTTGTTTTTGTTTGTGTTGGGATGCTAAAAATTGAACTCAGAGACTCATACATGCTTGGCAAGTGGTCTAGTTCAGAGCTATATCCCCAGGCTTTTTAATTTTGAAATAGTGGCTGAATAAGTTGCATGATTTGGCTTCATTGTGATTTCTTTCCTCAGCCTTCCAGGTAGCTGAGATTACAGGTGTGGATCACTATACCGGCCACCTTTTTTATTTTAAATTGAATCAGTTAGCTAAGTGTCCAAAACTATAGTCCTTTTATTATGAGGAATAAGAAATCATAGGAAGTACCTCACACTGTATTCAAGTGTATAAAAGTAGTATAATAATTGGGTGGTGAAATGTAGATGAGCGATTTGCAATAGTAGAAGATAGTGCAGCTTTGGAATTTGTTCTTAGTAAATGTCCTAGCTCTGCCCTGATCTAGCTCTTTGGTCTTGGTTCAGTTGCACAACCTTGCTGAGCTTCAATTTCTTCATCATGTATAAAAGCTTGTGCTTTTACTTATCCGACCACTGTTGATATGCTATTAGAAAATTTAAGCAGTCTATATAAAAGATGAACAGATTATCTTTAACCTGTATTTTTAAATACCACCATATTATGCTCAGTGTGCTGGCAGCACTCGGGAGGCTGAGACAGGAGGATTGCCCCAAGTTCAAGACCAGACCAAGATACATAGTGAGCTCAGGGCCAGCCTGAACTACAAAATGAGACCCAGCCTCTGCATGAATGATGGAATGAATATCAGACCATTCTCTGTAAAATAGTCTAATGTATTTTTCTGCTATTTGAACTGAATAATATTAAGTCTGGAAAAATCATTTTAATAGATTCACCTTGTTTAATTGAAGGTTTGCCAACCTGACTAGCAATATTAAATAATTAAATGCCCTTTATGACGGGACAAATTGACCTACTACAATAAAAAAAACTTGTGCAGCTCCTGTCAATTACTGTCTGCTCCGCATGTTACCACTGAGCAACATGGCGTTCCTGTTTCTCCAGTATGATGACCCACATCTCCACTGTTTCCACTCTAAAAGCTCGGGTGTTTGTAGCCTGAAAATTGGGATTAGTTTTAGTTTTCTGTGTTAGTACTTATAATGTAATAAATTTAATGTAGACACATGAAAAGTATTGCCTTCATCAGAAAATTAAAGTCAAGGTTGGGTTTATATAGTCACATTTTCTCTTAAGAAGTGAAATATCAGGGCCGGGGATTTAGCTCAGTGGTTCTGGCGCCTGCCTCACAAGCACAAGGACCTTGAGTTCGATCCCCGGTACCAAAAAAAAATTTTTAAAACAAGGAAGTGAAATAGCTGGTCATGGTGACACATGCCTGTCATCCCAGCACATAGGAGGCTGAGGCAGGAGGATTGCCCTGAGTTCAAGGTCAGCCTGGGTAATATAGTGAGTTCAAGGCTAATCTGCACTATATAGAAATACCCTGTCTCACAAAACCAAAGGGGGCTATCTTAGAAGTATAGTTCAGTTTCTTAGAGTGACAGAAATTGTGACTAAACTTTGTATTTAGACCTCTTTTGGTTTATCTTTTCTCTCTTTGACTTCTTTAGAAACGATTGGAGCAGCAAAAGCCTACAGTCATTGCCGCTTCTACCACCACTCCAACAAACAGTACAACCAGCACTATATCCCCAGCTCAGAAAGTTATGGTGGCCCCCATAAGTGGCTCAGTTACTACTGGAACTAAAATGGTACTAACTACCAAAGTTGGATCTCCAGCAACAGTTACATTCCAGCAAAACAAGAACTTTCATCAGACTTTTGCTACATGGGTTAAGCAAGGCCAGTCAAATTCAGGTACACAGCCATAATGAAATAAAACATTGCTTTCATTCAGGAAAAAGTATTTTCGATCCTTTACGTACTGAAATGAAATATTTTCTTTGAAAGTTGTTTTCCTTCTGCAGCTGTTTGACCAAATAAGCTGTAACTGTTGGTTTCTTACAGATAATATTCATAATATTACATTAGAAAAGCTCTTCTCTGACATTATTTCACTTTTAACATCTACATAATTCACTTTGAGTAGAGAGGAATGTTTTTATTAAAAAATACAAAGTTAGCCACATTTCATGCATTGGTGCCCTTCCTAGAAGTCACTACGTTGCTGGTTATTTTAAATCTAAAGCTTATTAAATGTCTTATACCCCATTAGCCACCAGCACAGCTGCCACATCTGCTACAACTATTGCCAGCACAGGTCAGACGTTCCAAATTACAGGCAATCCAGTCACTATGGCAGGAAAAGTAATTACCAAACTGCCACTTCCTGCAAACAGCAAGATTGTCGCTGTAAATGTGCCAGCAACACAAGGAGGTAAGGGAAATGTGAAGAGTTGTAATTCACATTTGCCAGATCATACTGTTGCCATTATTTTTCATTTCCTTTTCACTGATTTCAGTCCTTGGATATCACATTCTATGTAGTCCACTATAAAACTGCTACACGTAGTTTCTCAGAAACCAACAACACTTAATGTTCTTCCTTGAAAAGGACACTAGCTAATTATTTCTTCATCTTTCTTTAAGGCGTTGTTCAAGTGCAGCAGAAAGTCCTGGGTATCATTCCATCAAGTACAGGTACAAGTCAGCAAACCTTTACTTCATTCCAGCCCAGGACAGCAACAGTCACAATTCGGCCTAATACTTCAGCCTCTGGAACAGCCACGAGCACATCCCAAGTAAGTTTTCACAGGACTGTGTTTTGATGTGTTGAGCACATGGGATTGAAATGTTTGAAATGGCCTCTTCACAAATTCACCCAACTAATTTTTCTCTCTTTTACTTAATCTGTGACAAAGTACTGATTTGGGGTGGAATTTACTATTATATGAAGTATTCGTTTTTTAATGTTTCTTTACTAGCATATTAACATACTTTAATAGTGATAATTACTTTCTAGGATTTTATAAGGAAAACTTCACATAGATCAATAGACAGTACTGGGTCATGCAGGGAGATGTGCTGTGCAGCCCAGTTAAAGAATAAAAAATAGTCTGTAACACTGTAACTAGTTTGTTATCAACTGATATCTGCAGATGTCAGATATATTAGACTTTGGTACTAATTTTATGGAAAAGGTCTAAAGTTTTGCAGACTTGAAAATGTTCTGACCCTAATTATAAAACTTAAATAACATGCTCTATAGTCTTCCTTTTAAAACTTTGAAAGGGCATTTGGTGCTTTGTCTTATTTTTACATTCTCTGGGTTAGGTATGGATTGGAACTTAGAGAAAATAGGGCTCAGTATTTTCCTGTGAGCAGTAGTTATAGAGCAGAGCCTTGCTGAATCTCGTTCTTTCCTTTTAGTTTGTAGGCTCTTTTAGATACCAGTGGCAAGGAATTCCATATGGCTCATTTCAAGTAAATTGAATTTTTTCTCCTGAAAATTCCATCTTTATTCTGATGCTTAATGTAATTTAAAATGTGATGTCCAAGAGTCTCTGCCTTTTTTGTAGACATTATCACTATAGAATGTTTAAAGATCTTGTGTTCTAAGTCCATCATGCTTTAATTTTAAAAACATTTTAATCCATTGTCCTTTGTGTCATTTATAGGTAATCACAGGGCCTCAGATCCGCCCTGGTATGACGGTGATTAGAACACCTCTCCAACAGTCACCACTAGGAAAGGCAATTATTCGAACACCTGTGATGGTGCAGCCAGGTATTCATCCATCCAGCATTGTCATTTTACATTTAAATGACCAGCATAGGAAATTGGTACTACTCTGTATCTGGCACGCTACAAATTAGAAAATACCAATTCAGTAATTCAAGCATACTAAATTTCTAATCCATGGTGTGCTGTATCCATAGATACTGTTTTATTCTTGGCCTTGCCAATAAGACAAAAATAGAGTCAAGTATGCTTATCAAAAAATGTAAAACAAACTAATGAATAGAATTTACAGGTTCAAGTCATTCAAGTAATAAAATGAAGGAAACAAAAATCAAATTCCATTTATCATAATTTGTTTTTTCGTTTTGTTTTGTTTTGTTTTTTTGTTTGTTTTTTGAGACAGGGTCTCACTATGTAGTTGAGACAGACCTGGAGCTCACTGTGTAGCCCAGGCTGGTCTGGAACTCACAGCCATCCTCCTGCCTCAGCCACCCGAGTGCTGGGATTATAGGCGTGCGCCATCACTCCCGGCCTCCATTTATCATAATTAATGTAATTAAGTTTAACCTGTCATACTAAAATGAAGATGGGCCGGGGATGTAGCTCAATGGCACTGTGCCTGCCTTGCAATGGCAAGGTCCTGAGTTCACTCTCCAATACCAAAAATTAAAATTAAAATTAAACAGATAAACAAAATAAAAGTTGTTTTTTTTTTTAATTCCTACACACTCATGAGAAACTACCTAAAAATCAAATTGCAAAAGTAAAAGGTACAAAAATAAAGAGGTGGTCAAAGACAATGACATAAAGGCCTAAGAAGGAAAGAATGAATGAACAATGATAGCCCTAAGGGTAATGAGCAGAGTAGAATTCAGTATTTACAAAAGGAAAAAAAACAAGTATCACAAAGAATTTCATTTTAAATTTGTTAGAAGGCAGGTGGGGTGGTGCTCACCTTTATTTCCAGCGTTCAGAAAACTGAAGCAAGAGGATCATTGTATGCTCAAGGCCAGCCTGACCCACACGGTATGACTCTGTTTCCAAAAAAAAAAAAAAAAAAAGTAATTATAACTAATTAAAATTTTAAATAAATGGCTTAAGAATAGATTGTGTTGAAAATGCACAGTATCTTGAGTCCTTGTGAATTAAATATTAAAGTACCTATCAAAACTATTAGGTCCCAGGATTTGGCTCAGTGGTTCCATTGTCTGCCTCGCAAGCACAAGGATCCGAGTTCAATCCCCACTACCAAAAAAAAATTATTTAAAATAAGGAGGCATGAAGAAGAGCATGATAGACTACTGTGTATCAATTTTTGTGCCTTTAGGAATGCACATTCATTTTAAATATGGGCTGTTCATGCAAAAATATTCCTTGAGCCACAGCTAAAACCTTAATAAATTGCAAAAAGGAGTGTGTAAAGGCTGCACTTTAAAGAAATAAATTGATAATCTACGTAGTAACCTTTATTTGCTTAGAAACATTTTAGCAAATATGTTTTACATAACTTATAGAAACCTTCAATATGTAATTACAAATAAATGATCAAATAGCGACTTTAAACCCAAAATCAAACCTAAACTCAGAGGTAGACTCAATTTATTTAACAAGTATTTGAGCACCTACTCTAGGTAGTTGAAATAATTGTTTCATAAAACTACCAAAAACCCATATTCTTCAGTTTATGCAGAAGTTACAAAATATATTTATGTCTTAAAAGGGAGGAAATAAATAATTAGAAAACAAAAGGCAAGAAACATTCAAATAGGCCATTTTGTTACAAGTCTTTTTTTTTTTTTTCTTTGCTTGTTTGTTAAAGACAAGGTCTCTGTGCAGTGCAGGCTGGCCTTAAACTTGCTATGTACTCAAGGCTGGCTTCAAACTCAGTCCTGTATCAACCTCCCAAGTGGTGGGAGTCAGGTATGTGCCACCTTACGTAAATTAGAAGTCTAATCTTAAGAAATGGAACTAAAATGGCCACTTGACAGAACTATTGGAAGTACAGTAAGACTAGAATGAGCTTTTTTTTTAATTCAGAAGCGAATTCTGTATAGGTATCTTTGTGTTAAGACATCCAGAATTCTCACTATCCATACTTAAGAACCAAATCTATTTAAAAGTCTCAGTGACTCATATCCAAGATATTGATTTGGTAGGTTAACCATAGCATTTCCTACCAGATAGAATTCTGGATATGGTTTCATGGGGTAAAATTCTGTAAAATGCATAAGAAGCAAATAATTTCCTTATAGTTCCAGCACACGAGAAGCATTCTTCAACTATTTTCTATTCATTTCGCAGATTTAGTACAGTTCTCATTTAAAATATGACATAGTTTTCATTTTTCTTGTTTTAACAAAAACAGTCTTCTATGCCTAAGCAGCATTTACCTTAGGATTATTTCAGTTAATTTTACAGAGACAGTTGATAAAATTCAGTATTCTTTTTTTTGAGGAGTCTCTCTACGTATTTCATGCTGGCCTTGAATTCACTACGTAGCCCACACTGGCTTCAAACTCATGTCAATCCTCCTGAGTCAGCCTCGCAAGTGCTGGGATTTCAGGCATGCACCACCACACCCAACTTTTATTTTATCTTAAAACTTATAGCTATCATTTAGTCAGGTAACCAAAAGAAAAGATAACTAGTATAAAGAAGAAAATAAAATTTATTTATATTAAAAGGTAATATTCTTAGAAAACTGAACATTTTGGTAAAATTTCATGCAAACTGTAAACACTGCTAGTAGCCTTGGTATATAGTCTTTGCTCCTTATTGCCTGATATAGCTGTACTTGTGTGGGTCTGACATGCATATGTGAATCTAGAGCTTCCAGACACCCCTCTCCTTGGGTTTTGCTACTTTTCCTCCTGAAATCTTAAATACCCTGCAGAGATGTGGTTTGTGTGGTGAATGGCCCATCCCTGCCTCTCAGCCTTGAGTACTCATGTAATATCCGTTAGCCAAAGTCCGCCTTTAAACAGTTGGTTCATAATGGCAGCTGTGGTGGTGGTGGCGGTAATAGCAGCTGTCATATATTGATCACTCTTTGTGTGAAGGTATATGTGCGTTTAATTTTCATTTAACTTATATAAAGTGGGTATTAATATCATCTGCAATTTACAGATGAAGAAACTAAAACTCAGACTGTTGCATAATTTCTCAAAGTATTAAGCTAGTAGGTGGGACTCAAACTGGATTTGTCTGCTTCCCAATTCCAGATACCCATTTACTCATTGAACAAATAAGACTTACTTTGTGGCAGACAATATTCCAGGCCCATGCAACAATAGTTGTCAACTAATCCAACAAAGTTCCTGCCCTTGTGAAACAGTATAGAGGGAAAGGTACATAATAACTAGGTAAATTCTTACATGTATTTAAAAATGTCATTATGAGCCAGGTGTGATGGCACATGCCTGTAATCCCAGCACTTGGGAGGCTGAAGCAGGAGGATCGCTGTGAGTTTGAGACCAGCCTGGGTTACATAGTGAGATCCAGGTCAGTCTCAACTACATAGTGAGACCCTATCTCCAAAAACCGAAAAAAAAAAGTCATTGTGTGCAGTAGTTTATACATTTTGCGTGTAATATGTTAACAGTAAACACCTTGGAAAATTGGGAGGAAGGAATTAGGAGTGTTGAAGAATTCAGTTTTGGAAGTGATTTGCAGGGGATATTAGATTTTAGAAAGGATAGCCAGAGAAGGTAAAAGTTTAATGAAAGATCTGAGGGAATGAGAGCTCTGTCGTTATCTGGGGGAAAGGTTTTTGTGCTAAAAGCATTGCAGATACAAAGCCCTAAGTGGAAGTGGTCCAGATACATTGAAGGGAAAGCAAGGGGGCTGGTGAGGTGGCAAGGCTGGGAGAGGCCAAGGAAAGCTGGGTGCATTCACAGTGCGTGTCTGTGTGTGCAGGTCGCACTAACTTAGCCCTCTTCCCTGTACCACTCTAGCCTCTCTTGAAAAGGGTCTCGCTGGAAATTAGTAATTTTTAAATTTGCATTTTGATGATAATCTAAAAGTAATATATACAAATTGGATCATCTGAATGACCATTGTATAATCAGTACCACTCCTTCTATCTACGCTTAATAGCAATGTGTCTGTATTACATGATCACCTAAGATAATAACTTCTTAGGCTGGGGACTTAGCCCAGTGACACTGCGCCTGCCTTGCAAGCACAAGGTCCTGAGTTCATCCCTAGTACCAGAAAAATAAAGAAATAACTTCTCATGTATTCCTCAAAATGCAGCATGCAATAATATCATTTTGAGGTCCGGGGATTTAGCTCAGCAGTTATGCTACTTGCCTCACAAGTGCAACATCCTGAGTTTGATACCTGGTACCACACACAAGAAAAAAGAATATAGTTTTGGGACCTAGAGGCCCTCAAATTTAAAGCACTTAACCACACTATGTCTTTTGATTCATCTTGAATAAGTGGATGAGTATAACCAAGAAAAGTTTAAGAGTTCATCACCTGCCTTGCAAGTTTAAGTTCCTGATTTCAATCCCCAGTACTGAAAAAGAAAAGTTTAAAAGAATGTATAATAAAGGAAATCTAGGAGTGTCAGTTGTTAAATCATATTATAAAGACAAAGTTAGGAGCATGATACCAGAGGAAACTACATAGATAGGTACAATTAAAGAGGCATTATAGCTGGGCATGGTAGCACACACTTGTATTCCCAGCACTTGGGAGGCTGAGGCAGGAGAATTGCCCTGAGTTCAAGGCAGCCTGTGCTACAAAGTGTATTCTAAGCCAGCCTGAACTACACAACAAATCCCTAACTCAGAGGTCGGGGGAGGCATTTTATATGAGAATCTCCTGTATGACAAAGATGTCATTTTGAAGAATAAATCATGCTAGAATAATTGTCTTATAGTTTGGGAGTATAATTAAAATTGGCTTATAGTGGGAAGTATAGTGATGGCTTATTTGGGGGCTATATGTCTCACAACATGCAGTATATGATAACTACGAACATACTTGTGAGTATAGATCTAATGAAAGAATGCAGGAATACGGGAGAGCTTTATGAGCAATAATTAAAGCCCCTCCAAAAAATCTATTTGGCCACATAAATATTTAGAGGTTTAGAAGTAAATAAAATTAAAAGTGGGGAAAATACATTATTTTGTGGTTTTTATTTTGTTTTTTGTTTGTTTGGTACTGGGGATCGAACTTGGGTTTTTGTGCTTGTGAGGCAGGCGGTGGAACCACAGCTAAATCTCTGGCCCCGGAAAAATACATTATTTGAAAATAACATTCTAGGGCTGGAATGTAGCTCTGTTAAAGTATGTGCCTAGCATATGCAAAACCCTGGGATCAATCCTCAGTATGAAAAACAAAGAAGTGGGAAAAGTGCAGAAATGGGCAGAGTATGGAGCAGGAATTCAGACTTCACAGATGAAGCACATGAGTGGGAACAGTTTTAAACCCTGAGCTTCTATTTTACATGAAGAAATTCAGGCACTGATACTATGAGATTAATTCTGATTGCTGGACTATGGTAGGGCTTGGTGAAATAGGCACTCAGGTAGTACAAGTGTGAAATGGAATATGATGTTTCTCCTGTGCAAAGTAATACTTCGTGAAGACTATTCTAAGGAAATCAGAAGCACACAAAAATTCATGTGCAATGATTTCACCGTATATTATTATTGTTGTTGTTGTTTTGATACCGGGGATCGAACTCTGGTCCTTGCACTTTCAAGGCAGGTGGCGGAACCACTGAGCTAAATCCCCAGCCCTCGCCATATATTTTAACAAAGGCTAAGGAAAAGTATTCTGAATGTCAGAAGAGGCCCAGTTTTATCCATGTGGAGTAATATGAGATACCACTTAGTTATTAAAGACATGAATGGAGAGAAATGCATTCACAAGGAAAAAAGGAAGGAAGTAAATAGAAAAACTTCAGAAGTTTTGTGTTTTTTATTAATTAGTAATGAACATGTGAAAATTAGATTAGCTGCCATATAATTATTCTTATTAACATTGGGAAAACTCCACTTGGCTTTTTATTCTAGTTTTAAAAAGTAAAATGAGAACAGAAGATTTTAGAGAGCTATAGAGCCATTTCAACTTTTAATGCCTTTCATTTAACAGACAATTATTAAACAATGAGCATGGAAGCATTCTTTTGAGTACTTTGCCCTAGTACTAAGAATATAGTGGTGCTTTTCTCATGGTTCTCCAAACTCCGTGTCACAGGACTATAAGAGAAGTTTATAAATGCAGTTGGCCCAGGCCAATTGAAGTTCTTTGTATTTTAATAAAATTTATATGTTTATTATATACTTAACTATTACCTCATTTTTACTGTATTTCTAAGAAAAAGCAGCCATATAAATGGCATATTTTTGTGTTCTCTTTTGTCTTTCCTATTGTCACTTTGGCTTCAGGTTTATAGAAAGAGTATTGTTTCTTTCCCTGTACTACAGTCAGCAGCAACTGGATCATGGTTATCAGCGAGGCTAATGCGAACAGACTCACTTCACCCAGGCAGGTCCTTCGGGAGTGGGCCTCTGAATGCATCTGTGGGCTGCAGGCATCCCCATGCTTTTGAAAACAGAAAAGAATACATTTATCTAAAGTGTTGAGTTACTTTAATTGAGAATGCTGTCCAGGGCACATGGTCACTCAGGGCGTTTTGCTGTTTGTGCAGGTGCTCCTCAGCAAGTGGTGACACAGATTATCCGAGGCCAGCCTGTTTCCACTGCAGTTTCCTCCCCAAGCACAGCCTCCTCCACACCTGGGCAGAAAGGCTTAACTTCAGGACCATCCACTCCAAATCCGCAGTCTTCAACCCCACAACCCCCTCGTCCCCAGCAAGGACAGGTGAAGCTTACCATGGCTCAACTCACTCAGTTAACACAGGGCCACGTAAGTAAAGTGACTTCATTTTAACTTCAGAGCACGTCTTATTCTTGCTGTAAGTTTAAAAACACATACTTATTTTGGTAACTTTAAGGTTTTTTTGTGTTTCTTTTGGCAGGGTCTTTTTCTGTTGTTATTGTTGGTTTTTTTATGCCGCTTAGGATCATGCTGGGCCTCATTCATGCTAGGCAAGTGCTCTACCACTGAATTACATCCCAAGCCCATATGTCTCTTTTGGTACCAGGGATCAAACTCAGGACCTTGGACTTGCGAGGCAGGTGGTGGCGCCACTGTGCTAAATCCCCAGCCGCTCAGCCCATATCTTGATAAGTTTAGAAAGGTATTTATTTGCCAGGTGTGATGGCACATGTCTATAGTCTCACTCTCTGGAAGCTGAGGAAGGAGAACTGTGACTTCAAGCCCAGCCTGATACCTTATCAAAAATTTAAAAAGGGCCAGGGGTGTAGCTTGGAGCAAAAATGTAAGTTTAATTCCCAGAATCAGGAAAAAAAAAATGTACTTATCTTAGGAAATGGCTCCTTCCTGGAGTCAAACAAGAATACTTCTTATAGGGCTGGGGATGTAGCGCAGTGGTGTCACTGCCTGCCTCACAAGCACAAGGACCTGAGTTCGATCCCTGGTACCAGGAAGAAAAAAAAAAAAAAAAAGAATGTGTCTTACAGGCAAGATAAATGAATCTCAACTATAGAGTTCTTGGGTGAAGTTATACCAGTGAAATGGATAATTCTTGTAACCACCCAAACTTTATTAGTTGGCCAGCTTCCATGAGAAAAATAAAATTTGAGTATATTAAGCTGCTTTCTTGTAAAATGCAGTATTTTTTACCAACTGTTCCACTGTTGAGCCATAGATTGAATGCAGTTCCCATCGAAATCTTTTTTTTTCCCCCATCAAAATCTTAAAGAGTGTCTGCATTGATAGTATAGTGGGGAAGTAAGTATAGCTGCCTTCCAAAATCTTAAAGAGATTTTTTTTGGGGGTGTGGAACTTCACAAGCTACTTTTTAAATTATATTTTAGTTAAAACTACACGAAAGTGGGCCGGGGATTTAGCGCAGTGGTGTTGCTGCCTGCCTCGCAAGCAGAAGGCCCTGAGTTCAATCCCTAGTAACGCCAAACACACACACACACACACACACACACACACACACACACACGAAAGTACAAAGGATCAAGAATAGCTATTAAAGAACAGGAGGATTTGTTTAGAGCTACTGTGGTGCTTAACTATTTTAATACAACAAGGTGCAGAGGCAGCGATACATAGACAAACCAACAGAAACATAGAAACTACAGAAAGGAGGGCCGGGGATTTAGCTCAGTAGTTCTGCTACCTGCCTCACAAGTGCAAGGACCCGGGTTCAATCCCTGGTACCAAAAAAAAAAAAAAGAAGAAGAAAATACAGAAAGGGACCTCCGTTCATGTGAACACTCATTACGTGACATTGCTGGGATGGCAGATTGTCGAGGAAAGGTTAAAATTTTTAGAACATTTATGGAGTCAGTATATATGAGGAACCATGAAATTGGACCACTGCCTCATTCTGTAAATTGACTCAATTCCAGGAGGATAAAAGACAAAACTATAATACTTTCAGAAGTTAAAATAGAGTATCTTCATAGTTTTCTTTAAATACATAGAATCACCAACCATAAAGCAAAAGATTTTTAAATTCACCTTCATTAAAGTGGGAAGGTAGGGGAAAGGTAATAAGGGAAAAAATATGAGAAAATGAAACAAATGGAAATAAAATATTTGTAAATGGGGAGGGGAGGAGGGTGTGAAGGGAGGGCAGGGACAAGGGGAAAAAATGAGAACCAAGACCACCTGTCTTGTAAAGGTACAAGATCCCAATAATGAATGTAACTGTACTGTGTACCTAAAATGTACTAATAAACTCAATAAAAGAAGAAAGAAAAAAATAAATAAAAACTTCAGGCCGGGCATGGTGATGCACCTACAATCCCAACACTCAGGAAGCTGAGGCACAAGGAGCACTTCAAGTTTAAGGCCAGCCTGAGCTACATAAACAAGACTCCTGTCTCAAAAAACAAAACAAAAAAATTTAAAAATAAAAACTTCAATTTGTTTAACTACAAAAGCAGTGAAAAAAATAAAAAAATGAAATCAACCAACAACTTTAACCCAAATATATGAAGAATTACTACAAAGCAAGAAAGGGAAAATTCCATGCAGGGCAGTAGAGAAATGAACAAACTTGATGTGGAAAGATGAAATTCAAATGTCCAAAATTCCAAAATAGCTGCTGAACACCCCCCTGCTTTTTGTACCAGCCATCAAACTCAGGACCTTGTGCTTGTAAAGCAGATGTGGTGCTACTGAGCTAAATCCCCAGCCCTGTTGAACTTACTAAGGAGGGGAATGCTCACTGAAACCATACACCTGTCAGATACAGTGGCACATACCTTTTATCCTTGCTACTCAAGTTTGGGTCCACCCAATGAGACTCTTGTCTCCAAATTTTTTTTAAGGGCTTCAGATGTAGCTCAGTGGGAGAGCACTTGCCTAGCACGTGTGAGGCCCTGGATTCAGTCCCCATCACCACCAAAAAATAACAACAGCAGCAACAAAAACATGTACCTACAAGATTAGTCTTAAGTTTAAATCTCTAGCAAAACCAAAAATTAGCAAAGAGGAGGAGCAGAAAGAACTATAATATACCACTGATAGGAATATAACTTGGTGCGCCCATTTTGAAACCCCTCTGTGTATTATTTAATACAATTGAAGATGTGCATGCCTCAGGGCGCAGTAGTTCTTCTAGATATATCCATGGAGAAATCCTTACTCATGTGATCACCGTAATGGATATAAATATTGATAGCCTCATTGTTCATAAGTCAGTTTAAAAACCCATATGTCAGTCCACAATCAGATAAGTAAATTATGGTACATTCTTACAGTAATAAGCATGAACAGACTTTGCACACAGCTGTATAAAACTGTTTAGAGAATTCTCAGAAACAAAATAGTGACTTGGAGCCAGGTGTAGTGGGTTATGCCCATAATCCCAGCATCTGGAAGGTTGAGACAGGAGGGTTATTCTGAGTTCAAGGACAGGTTGAACTACATAGAACCTGTCTAAAAAAAAACAAATAAATAAAATATTTAACCGTAGGTATGTGTAACCAAAAAATATGCAAATCATGATTTCATTTGTATAAAATTTAGAAATAGGCAAAACTAAGCTGTACCAAACAAAGCTATTTTATTTTATCTGGGAACACAGGGGCAAGTGGGAGAAACCATTCCCCTTATACTGTATTTTTGTGAATGGGACTCCTGAAGCCAAAATCTCAGTGGCCTGAAAGGATGTGTACCTCAGTCAGACTCCCATAACGAAATACAGTGTTGTCAGAGAAGTGAGCACAGTGCTTGTCTCTGTGGGAAGGGCAGGAACCAGACCAGGGCATCGCTTGGGGCTTTTTGGCGTTGGCAGTGGGGAGTAGAGTGGTGATTTGATCATTGTCTGCTTTATAATTCTTTAAATTAGCTATTTGCTTTGTAATTATTCTTCAAATTTAAATTATTCTTTAAATTATACTTGTTTCATGCATTTTTGAAGATGAATTTTGAAGTGTTTTAGAAAAAGCAAAAGTAAGTAAGTTTGAGAGACTTGCGAGCATATGGAACTCAGTACAGAGACTACTACATGGCATCAGTTTTTCACGCTAATGCCTTCTAATTTTCTGCACAGATTGGGGCAGTCAAGCTTGTTAGTTGATGCGCTGAGTAAGCGAAATTCAATCTGCAGCCAGTGGCCTGATCTCACACTTCATATTTTCATATAAACTATTTGTACAGCATATTACACCTGTCTGCTAGGTGGACACTGTTACAGAAGAGCTCTCAATGACAGAAAAATCTCTCTCCTGATATCTGTGAACAGAAAATGTTAACTCCAGACACTCTTCGGAAGTTGCTTTACAGTACAAAAATGTGTCCCAAACATCTCTGTGGGAGGAAAGCACACAAAGAGCACTTTCTTTCCATCACCAGATTTGATCCCACACCTGTTGGAATCAAGTCTGGAGTGTCATTAGTGTTCCTGTTTGAAAGGTCTGTTGGCTGGAAATCACTCTAGCTGTTGGCTGTTCATGTGAAAGGACTTGACCTTTGCAAACTGAGTTTCTTTTTTTTCCTGCCTTACTGGGAATTAAATGCCCCCATACTTGGCAAATACTCTAACACTCCGCACTGTAACTTGCCTTTGTTAATTGGGAATAAAATTATAGTAATACTTGCTCTGATATTTTGCTAGGTCTCAAGTCCACTGAGAATCAAACGAGGCAATATATATGAAGGTGATTTGAAAATTATAAGATAAGAATATAAGGTGATTTGAAATCGTAATTTGGTGGAAACTGTAGTAATTCACTTCGGTGCCCTTATTTATAGAGTGAGAAATTTGGATCTGGTAGAATGGTGTTGCTTGTATATAGATACAGTGCACAAATTTTACTGCACAATTCTGGAAGAGAGGCCACATTTGTGTTTGTGTGGGTAAGATGGCTGTGGTCATGTTTGTCATCTCATGCAGTTTGCAAACACAAGGAAATTGTTTCCAAATGCTTCTGTTTATAAACCAGATTGTTTGCAAAAAAAGCCATCATGAGCTAATGACCACTGTACCTGGATGCCCATTTGGAGAACTTGGACTGGAACTCTGGATTGTTCATGCTCCCCCACACACACACTAAACACCGATATCCTTATTTGCAATTATTTAAAGATTATCTAAATTCTTCCTTATGTTACTCAATGGATAGATAGTGATATATATAGATAGGTGTGTTTTTTTTTATTTTTTATTTTTTTATGTTAAAGAATCTTTGTGCCACACAAATGATTTACCCAAACTACAGATTGGTACTTTGAACATTGCATTTTGTGTGTTTTATCCACAGGGTGGCAATCAGGGTTTGACAGTAGTAATTCAAGGACAAGGTCAAACTACAGGACAGTTGCAGTTGATACCTCAAGGGGTGACTGTACTCCCAGGGCCAGGGCAGCAGCTCATGCAAGCTGCAATGCCGAATGGTACTGTGCAGCGATTCCTCTTCACCCCATTGGCAACAACAGCCACAGCGACCAGCACCACCACCACAACTGTTTCCACTACAGCAGCAGGTAGAACGCTAAGCTTCTTGGAAGTGCTGAATGTTATTACCACTCATTGCTGGGAACAAGATGAGCAATGCTTATCTTTAGGAGGATGTGCCTCAGCCCAGTGAGCTCAACAGTTGGCATAGCCGACTTCACAACATCTTGGTGTTTTCATGCCTTGTTTTTATAGACTCCTTGTCAACACCCCTTCCCGTGTGTGTGTGTGTGTGTGTGTGTGTAAGTGAAGGCGGGGCAAAAGTAAAGGCTATCATGGTAACTGTTGATGCTTCCCACACTTTACAGGCACTGTTAGGGTAATGAAGATAATCTCAGGGCGGGCTAACGCATCCAACTCAGAGCCTGCAGTTGAGAGCTGCAGGTCTAGATCACTTTGTTAGCCACTGGTTAACTGCAGAGTGCAGCCTGATGCTAACCTGACTCTTAATAGAGGCTGTGCCTTGCTTTCAAAGCCAGCCCTCTGGCAAGTTACAAAGTTTTACAGAGTTCAGCCAGAGAACAAGGCTCTAGCTCCCTCACTCGGGAGAGTACTAATGTCAGCATGACTAAACCGTTTCAAAAGTTTAAATCTGTACTGAAATACAGAATTCTCAACTTTAGGAAAATCTCCTTCCTGTTCTTTTTAAACCACAGTCTTGTGTTCTAGAATAATAGAATTGATTTGTCTTTCCTTTCCATAGGCTCAGGTGAACAACAGAGTAAATTATCACCCCAGACACAGGTGCAACAAGCCAAACCTTTGCCAGATCAGTCATCAAGTGTGAGTCCTGCAGAAGCCCAGCCACAGTCTACTCTGCCTTCAACGCAGCCCCAGCTCCAGCCCCAATCCCAGCCCCAGCCCCAGCCCCCAACTCAGCCTGAAGTTCAAACTCAGCCTGAAGTTCAGACCCAAACAGCTGTTTCATCTCTCATCCCTTCTGAAGCACAGCCAACCCAAGCACAGTCATCCAACAAACCCCAACTTGCAGCACAGTGTCAGCCTCAAAGTAATGCCCAAGGACAGCCTCCTGTTTGTGTCCAGAGTCCACCACAGACTCGATTGCATCCATCAACTCCATCTCAAGTGTCTTCTAGTCAGCAGCCCCAGGTTCAGACTACAACCTCACAGCCGATTCCAATTCAGCCACATACATCTCTTCAGATACCTTCCCAAGGCCAGCCACAATCACAAGTGCAGGTACAGTCTTCAACTCAAACTCTTTCATCGGGACAAACATTAAATCAAGTTACTGTTTCAGCCCCATCCTGTCCTCAGCTACAAATACAGCAGCCACAGCCCCAAGTCATTGCTGTGCCTCAGCTGCAACAAGTCCAGGTTCTGTCTCAGATCCAGTCACAGGTTGTGGCTCAGATACAGGCTCAGCAAGGTGGTGTGCCCCAGCAAATCAGACTGCAGTTACCTATTCAAATTCAGCAAAGCAGTGCTGTGCAGACTCAACAGATTCAGAATGTGGTTACAGTGCAGGCAGCCAGTGTGCAAGAGCAGTTGCAAAGGGTTCAGCAACTCAGGGATCAGCAGCAAAAGAAGAAACAGCAACAGATAGAAATTAAGCGTGAACACACCCTCCAAGCTTCTAACCAAAGTGAAATCATTCAGAAACAGGTAAAGTTATTAAGTCAAAGCAGCATGTTCAGTAGCTTGAATTATTGTGCTGTACAATAGACTTAATGCTTGCTGGTATTAGGTTTCCTAAATGAGACATCGTCATTGATGTTTAAATTTAGAAGCAGCACTGGATGGACAGACTGACACCACTGACTCCCATGGTTTGAAATTCTTCTCTGGATAGATAGAGTCAGTGCTTATTAGAAACAGTCTAGCTGGGCATGGTGGCGCACACCTATAATCCCAGCACTGGGGAGGCTGAGGCAGAAGGATTGCCACAAGTTCTACGCTAGCCTGGGCTACACAGTGAGTTCCAGGCCAGCCTGAACTACAAGGCGAGACCCTGTCTCAAAAAACAAACAACAGCAACAACAAAAAGATACATATTTTGGAAAAATGGAAATGGGAAGAATGGGGTTTTTAGTTTCAATATTATTAATACCAAACTGAAGTACAAAACTTCAGGTATTACAGCAATTCATTTGAAATTATTTACTATCCCTTAGTTTGCATGTAGGCTAAGACTAAACAAATTGCAGACGAGTTAAATTCATTTGCATTTCCAGACACACCTTTATAAAAATGTTGTAAATATTCTGTAGCTGAAATAAAAAGTGCCATTATGCAGGGACATCTTGCAGTGGCACTTGAGTGAAGTAAGGTAACTCAGATGAATTAGAATTACTCTACTAAAACATATAACGTCCTTTAGCATTACTGTAGGAAACTTCCTTTTTATCTATACCGTGCTCTGTCAGCACAAGGCAGGAGTTTGGATTTCAAGGGTTACCAAGTCTCGAAACTCTGTGTCTCCCCTGAACTATAACTTCATTAAAACGCCTCTCTTTCCAGGCACATGAGATTATTACGATGATTACATGGGTCGTGTATGTAATTTTAAAGATGTAAAATTGAAGTGATATATAATGTGTTCACGTGCATTACCACCCAGCTGTCAGCACTCTAAGTTGAGAATTATCTAGTACCTATAATACTCCTGATCTTTGTAATAGGGGCATAGGGGAGCAGCTCTTTAGAATTGGTGCCTGGGAAGAGTGCATAATGTAAAAGCAGCCTATGGAGCATGATAGTTGAGTGAAAATTCTTGCTGAATTACTTACTACTTAATCTCAAACAAGTTGGTGAATTTCTTTGTCTCATTATTAATGAAATTGTACCTATGGCTCAATATTGTCATGAGGAATAAATAAAATATTGTCAAGTATTTAACACAGCACCTAAAACACGGTAAGCACCCAGGCACTTTTGGTAGCTGCTAATTTAATTCATGTGTATTAATACAAAAATCTTAACCATATCTTTGATCAACATGTATGCTGTCATCTCTACTATGGTTTCTGTATACTAACTGTAGTCTTTGTAAAATGTATATTTTTGGATTTGTTCTGTCCTAAAGGTGGTGATGAAGCATAATGCTGTAATAGAACATTTAAAACAGAAAAAGACCTTGACTCCCACTGAAAGAGAAGAAAATCAAAGGTAGGGAGAAACATAGGGACTTGTGGTATATTGGTTTCTTCTTTTTAGCCTGCTCATGTGTAAGAGTTGTAGGTTTATATATATATATATATGTGTGTGTGTATGTATGTTTTGTTTTGTTTTTAGTACTGGGGTTCAGACTTGGGACTGCTTGTGAGGCAAGCAGCAGCACCACTGAGCTAAATTCCTAAGCCCAAGTTTATATATATTTTTATCTCTTTTGTTTTGTTTTTGTTTTTGTTTGTTTGTTTTTTGAGACAGGGTCTCACTGTATAGTTGAGACTGACCTGGAACTCTATGTAGCCCAGATTGGTCTCAAACTCACAGCGATCCTCCTGCCTCAGCCTCCTGAGTGCTGGGATTACAGGCGTGCGCCACCATGTCCAGCTATATATTTTTATCTTGATTGAAGTTTCCCAGTAAGAACACTTGAGCACAGGTAGTTCGTGATGGGTTTCTGTTACTGTCTGCAGCTTTGCAGTTGCAGAAAGTTTGTATATCATCTGCAGGGACATAGGAGACTCATGTCTTCAACCTTTCAGAATGAAATGTCCAGCATTACATAGCTTGTATATTTTTCTCTAGAATGATTGTATGTAACCAGGTGATGAAGTATATTTTGGATAAGATAGATAAAGAAGAAAAACAGGCAGCAAAAAAACGGAAGCGTGAAGAGAGTGTGGAACAGAAACGGAGCAAGCAGAATGCTACCAAGCTCTCTGCTCTGCTGTTTAAACACAAAGAGCAACTCAAAGCTGAAATCCTGAAAAAGAGAGCTCTTCTGGACAAAGAGCTGCAAATTGAAGTGCAGGTAAGAGAATATTTCCTATCCTGCGTCCAGTGTTTAACATCCAGTGTTTTTCTTTCTTGCTTTAAATATTTGGTTAAGCCTATAGTTTCAGCCTTTTTCCCCCTAGAATTTACATTTGCATATATAAAGTACATTAACTAAAAAGCATATCTTTTGGGTCTGGGGATTTTACCTCAGTGGTTCTACTGCCTGCCTTGCCACTGCAAGGACCTGAGTTCGATCCCCAGTCATCCCCCCAAACAAGTCACATCTTTTGAAGCAAGACAGAGCCTTTTTTATGTGTGTATTTTAATGCTTTTTAAGAGTGTATTTTTAGTGTATTCTCTAGCCATTCTGAGAAGTTAATCTATTGATCAAAATGTTTAGTACTCTGTTGGAATACCTTTTATTGTCTATGCCAAAAGTTTCCTGGAGTCATGTTTCATAAGAAAGACAAGAAATCTGCAAAATAATATTATAAATATAAAAGTATGTCCACTTAAAAAGACAAGTATTCCCTTTAACTTGTAATTGATTCTGCAGAGGAGCATTACAAATCTATTGCTTTCTTGGTAAAGTTATTTTCAGAATGAAAGAAGACATCTGTTCATACATAGAGACATAGCTTTTCCTTGCCTTTGTTGCACTCATGCATCAGGAACTGTGGTATACTTTTTTTTTTTGGTCAGTACAATTGAATCCAGGCCCTTCACTCTAAGCTACATCTCCAGCCCTTTTTTATTTTGAAATCTCACTATGTTGCTGGGCAAGAATCACATGCAGTCTTCCTGCCTCAGCCTTCCAGAGTGCTGGCATTATAAGTGACCCCCACCTATCCTGCTAAAATATCAGTTTTATCAGAAAATACAGCGTGTTTCTAGAGGACAGTTCATCTGTATATTTTCATGTTTTAAAACACTAAAATGTGGATACTGTTTGATCTGTAATTTCACTTCTAGAAATTAGTCCAAAATAATGAGGCAAGATAATTCAATAAGGGCATTCACCAAAGTACTAATAATAACAAAAATTTAGAATCAGCCTCAAGTCCACAGAGTGGAGATTGGAACTCAGTGTTTTTCAACAGAAGCTCTTTGTCCCTGGTTACCAAATTACAGTAGCAGCCCTCTCATTTTGACTCACACACAGAAACGCACAGTCTCTTTTACCCTCTACGTATATTCCCAGTCTCTGGAACTGTGATGGTGAACCCTTTAGACTTTGCAATGATATAAACAGCCCACTGTGGCACGAGTGTCACAGGTCCCATTACCACTGCTCTGGGAGGTGCCAGTGCCATGCCCAGCTGAGCACCACTGAGTGAAATACGTGAAGTCTCCACAGAAATGGGCTTTCCACAGCAGTGTGGGGTAGTGTTTGGCTTTAACTTCTTTAGGAGAAATTCTCAGTAATAAATGCTCAAATAAAGTAGTGTATTTATAGTGCAGTATATCCGATCACTTCATTCAACAAGTATTTATTTGGCATTTAAGATACCGCACACTATTCCTGCTCCCCAGTCTGCACACTGTAGGAAAATATTTGTAGTTTCAACCTTCCTGTGTAAATACACTGGTCATATACATTGAAATATTCTTATAAAAATAATGTAAAGCTGGGCACCTTGGTACAAGCCTGTCGTATCAGCAGTGGGGAGGTTGAGTTCCGCGAGATGAGCTCGTCTGATTCTGCCTGGGCAACTTAACAGGGCTGGGGGTGTAGCTCAGGGCAAAGACCCTGGGCTCAGTACTATGTAAAAAAATGTAATTCCACCACAATATCTTTCATTATCTACCATTTTTAGATAATTTTAGACTATATTTTGATATGTATGTATTCATATTAAAGTCATTTTATATAGAAATAGAATCTAATAAGGATGAAAATTTTTAAATTAAAATATTCAACATTAAGTGGTAGAATTAATTTATTGCTATGCTAATTTCCTTTGAAAGATGACTTTCAAATAACTATCAACTGGCATATTTTAAGAATAAAATTTAAATCCCAGCACTCTGGGGATGCTGAGGCAGGAGGACTTGTTTGAGACCAGCCTGGACTATGTAGTGAGTTCAAGGTCAGCCTGAACTACATAGCAAAACCCTGTCTTTTAAAAAAAAAAAAAAAAAACTTAAAAATGAGCAAGAAGATTGAGGTGTAGCTCAATGTGAAGGTCCTGAGTTCAGACCCTATTGCCACCACCCCAATTTTTAATCATATTGATTTTACTTTCTGTTTATAAGGTTATGAGATTGACTTTTCAGCCTTCTACTCTTACATATTTTTCTGCTTGTCTTTCTTTTTAAATAGACTTTATTTATAGAGCAGTTTTCTATTTATAGTAAACCAGGTGCCGAAGGTACCGTACTCTGTATACTTGCCATTCAGTTTCTCCTATTATGAATAGCTTGCATTACTGTGTCACTTCTGTTAAACTGATGAACCATATTGACGTATGTTATTAACCAGTCATAGTTTATATTAAGCTTCACTCTATTCTGATGTAAATTTTGTAAGCCCATAACCTGCCAGTATAGTATGTACAGAAAAGTTACAATGTCCTAAAAATAGTGCTTCATCTTCTGTAGCTGTCTGTCTTCACCATATACTTGTTTCTGATAAAATATGTCTTTGTTATCTTTTTAATAGAACTTACTCCTTCATTTAACTATGTCACCTGTATTACAATTTTTGTCACATTCTATGAAATTAATTTCATTTGAATTCAGTCCATTTTGTTTTGGTTTGGTTTTTTAAAATCTTTTTTCCCATTCCATGTTCTCATGTTTTGACATTTGGTTTTGCAAAAGTATTTTGAGTGAAAAGAGTTTTGCTTTTGCTTCCTTTTTTTGAAGCCCAGTTAGCCCAGTTATCTCTTACCTTCCAGCAGGAAGCCAGCTGTCAGTACCCAGCTCATACAAATCACATTCAGTGCCCTTTACCCTGAAGAACTCAGTGCTATAGTTTGGCTACCACTTCCTAGTTTGAATATGGCGTGTAGATAAGGCCCGCAGTTTTAGTATTGCTTAGTGTATCTTCCTGTTCCAGGGGGCTATTGATGTCTTACTCAGACATGCCTGTGTCTTGCCTTTTTCTCTTTTTTTGAGACAGGATCTCACTATGTAGTCCAGACTGGCCTGAATTCATGGGATCCTCCTGCCTCATTCTCCCAAGTGCTGAGATTACAGGCATGCACCACCATGCCCAGCTGTTCTTTTTCATATTTTACTATCGTTGGTATATTTTTACAGGAGAAAGGAGTTCAAAGTGAGTGCATCGCTGCACTGCCCTGACCTCTGTGGTGTTACTAAGTTCCATCTTTGGATATCGTATCATAAATTAGGCAAATGGAACTCAAGATTTACTCTCTTCCCTTGGAAGAGATCCAGTCTCTCTTTCAATAGAGAAGGGCTGTTGAGTTAGTCACACTGCTTACCTTCTCACAAACTGTCTAGACCAGTAATGACGAGGCTTTTGGAGCTTTCCGGGATACAAACAGCCCGCTGTGGCACGCGTGCCATAGGTTTGCCACCAGTGCTTTAACTCTAGAGAGTCATTAAATCAGGGCCATTTGTATTTCTTTGTTAGGTTTTTGTTTAGTTTTGTTTTTTTCCTGGTAGTGTAGTTTACCCAGGGCCTTCGTACTCAGCTCCATTACCAGCCCTTTTTTTAAAATTTTGAGACAGGGTCTTCCAAGTCATTCAGTTGCCCACACTGGGCTTGAACTTGCAATTCTCCTGCCTTAGGCTCCCAGAAAGCTGAGGTTACAGGTGTATACCACCCCTCCTGGCCCTTGGTTAGAACTCCCGGGTTGGTTTGTTGTTGTTTTGAGATAGGGTCTCCCTATGTGTTCAGGCTGGCCTTGAACTTTTAGCAATCCTCCTGCTTCAGCTTCCTGAACTGATTTCTTGAGATTTCAGGTATGTGCCATCATGCCCAGCTTTATGAATTTTTGTGATGTGGGATTTTAACTTCGCAATTGCCAGAGACTTGATTATAACAAATTCTTGTAATTGTTTTATTCTTTCTTTTCTTTTCCTATGTACTTATATGTAATATCTCTGTTTTAGAAGCTGTCAAATTCCTAGAGCTCTTAAGTATTCATTTAGATGATTCTTATTGTCGTTTTTTTCACTAGGAAGAGTCATTCTGTCCTTAGAAAAGTGAAACTGCCATAATAGTAAAAACAGGGGCAGAAAAATTAAGTTGTGAACGCATTGCTTTTTAAGACTCAGGATTTTGATTTTGTACCTTGGGAGAGGGGTACGGTATCAGAAATTGAACTCTGGACCTCATGTTTACAAGACAGGCGCAGTGCCACTGAGCTAAATCCCTAACCCCTGTTTTTCTGCTTTTATGTGCTGTTCTATTATAACAATATGAGGCTCGGGGTGGCCTCTTGCTAAACCTTTAGTAGCTATAACCCTTCAAATGTTTACCATTTTTAAAAGAATTATTCCAATTCAGTATAGCACCAAAAGTCAATGGGATAATTTTTTTATTTTTATTCATTTTTAAAAACATTTAATTTTATTTTTTGGCCTTGAACCCCTAAGTTCTGAGATTACAGGCATGCACAATAAATATATCTGGATTAAAAAAAATTTTAAATCCCAACAAGCAAGCTATAAATTCAACTTAATTGAAGATGTGTAAATATATGAATTAAAAATTGGGGCCAGGGATTGAGCTGAGTGGTACTGCACCTACTTCACAAGTGCAAGGTCTTGAGTTGGATCCCCAGTACCAGGAAAAAAAAAAAAAACTAAAGGGAAAAACAGTGACAATGGTAGGATTGTAGGTGTTCGTTTTTCTTTTTTGTTTCTTAATTTTTCAAAAATTTTTTATTGTTTCTTGGTACATTTTAGGTATACAATATGATAATATTCATTGATAGGAATTTGTATCTTTATTTGATATATCTTTTGTTTGTTTGTTTGTTTTTTGTTTTTTGAGACACAGTCTCACTACGTAGTTGAAACTGACCTGGAACTCACTATGTAGCCCAGGCTGGTCTCGAACTCACAGCAGTCCTCCTGCCTCAGCCTCCTGAGTGCTGGGAATTACAGGTGTGTGCCACCACGCCCAGCCTATATGATATATCTTGATTCTTACTTTTTCCCCATTCCCCTGTCTTCCCTTCAATCCCTCCGCACCTCACTATTTACAGACTTTGTTTCTGTTTTTTCCTTTTCTCATTTATTCCTTTCCCCAACCCCTAATTTTTTTTTTTTTAATAGGCAAAAAAAGAAATTCAGCCTTCTGTAAAATCTCAGCTGAGTATGGTGGTGCACACCTGTAATCCAATCACTCAGGAAGCTGTAGCAGAAGAGTTGCTGTGAGATCGAGGCCAGCCTGGGCTCCATAGTGATTTCAAGGCCAGGATGAACTACATAGTGAGGCCCTCTCAAAATTAAAAAACAAACAAACACCTTTTCAAGGGATATTACTGTTCTT